TTCAACTGTTTTTTCTGTTTAAGGTAAGAGTACACCCCATAAAGATAGGCATCCATATGACTGTATAACACTGAACCGCTTGGACTTTAATATTGACCTAAATGATCCTTCAAGTAGTCTTTTATCCCCTGTAAACTATTTGTATAAAATACTGAAGAACGACTAAAGAGAATTAAAGCTTAAGCATCAAAAAAGGCGTTATGTTCATCTATGGATTCCAAAGTAAAGAACTTGAAAATTAAGTCACGATCTACTATACAAACTACGCTGGCGCTGAAAAGATAACCTACGCATTGTATATTTGCTACTTTATAACTTAACATGTTCTATGGACTTAGTTGGAATTCGGTAATGGGGTTTGGAGGGTTTAAATATAGGTTTCCATCAGGTTTTGAGGTGTACGAATTAATATAAAAGCATACTAAAGTGTCAGCTTCTTGTTGATAATTTTGTCTTCTATCAGAAATTTAGGTCAGTGAAAAAACCTTGTAAAGTTACTAAACAGTGAGAAATAATTGCACTGTAAATAATTCCCTCCAATTCAATCGAAATAATCATCATCTAAACTTATCTGTGACCAGTGACATCCTTTCAATAACTCGAAGCTTCCCAAATCGACCACACAATCACTTCAAGGTTGTTCGATAGTCACTTAACCATAGCATGGCTGTGTGATTCTACCGATTAAACTCGTTGAACAACGTTTTTGTTTTGCGGTATCTAAATTCTGGTAGAAGGAGACTGGGTTATCAAAACACTTAACACTGTTAAGATATTGATAAACTTCTATTATTTAAAGTAGATAACAGCCAACATACTGCGTACACTGGATCTTACTGAAGTATACTAATAGCCATTTGCATACATTAGCGTAGTATAGTGATGACGTGACATTGACATTTTTCTCTTGCACCATCACCTTTACTATTTATTATGAATATAAAACCGAAGACCATATCTAACTCCAGTTACAATTAAGAGCTAAATGTGACATTTAAAGTATTTGAAAAATAGATATGTCTACATGTATATACACAATGTTTGGACGTTATAATTATCTAGTTAAAAGATTTGGCGCCAAATTCTGTTTTTACTTAGTAGTGAAGAATTTCATGATTAGAAGAAGAAAAATTCTTTCATAATCTTATACAAATAATTTTAAAACCTTTTTAAAAGTTGATCTAGCAGTTAAAGTGATTCACATGTTATAGCATCCTTTGGAACATCATTCGTAACCATTTAATACTGAAAGGTTGTTTCATCATGATATCAGGATTGCTTAAAAATCACTAACTTAGAGATTTTAGATCTTATAGGCAGTATGTTACTACTGTTAAGTTATTGTATGTAAATCAACTGTTTGATATTTTCGAAATGTTCCACTTTAAGCCTCGATGAAACACCTAACAACAAATATTCTCATTGACACCATAGAAATAGTGTGTCAAAAGTCCACAGCTATCAGGTCCTGGAACAGTAAAAATAGGCAACTTGATGAATATAAAACTGGGTCAGTCAGGAATTTTACTATTCCGCTGGTAGAAGCTGACCATCCTTCAACCCATAGTTCGGTTTCAATGGTTCATACATTGGTAAAGACCATGAGTGATAATCATCTCCCCCTTTATCTTCAAGATGTCCAGGCGTGTTTAGCTAGTTGTATGTAACAAAGAACTCCCCAGACAAGCATTAACAAACAGTATGTTGTCAAAGATTACGCTTGAACAATCTTACCACTGGGCGTTTTCGCATATCCCTGAGGAAGGAAATTTTCAAACAGAAAGTTTTCGTCAGAACAAATACTGTCATTATTACAATGAACCCATTAGAAGTTAATCCTGCTAACCTATCTTATTAAGCCAAATAGCGTCTACCGTTCTTCGCCTACAAGTGAATTTTTACATTATGACTATCAGTGCTCTGAACAGATAGTCAACATTATACGAAATTAATCAGTTTAGGAATTGATTTGATTGACCCCACCTTTTACAATGGATTACTTATTATTAACAATCAGCCTGAAACATGAACTTATGTACAAAAGCTTCCACACAATAGGGGGACACACCTAATCTTAGTGTACCGAATGTACTTGGTTTAAAGTTTTGATAATTCCCATCTTTCAAGAAAGTCACAAGGTAGTGATATCAAGCCATGCGCTCTGCACAAGTTGTGACTTTCACTAACTACAATTCTAATGGATAACAAATACCCTGGTGTTTAAAGTGATGGTTGTTGGTTTCGAATTTTGACAAAGGACAGTAACAAAAGAGATAGATATGCAGCTGATGAGTTCCAAATTGGATGAACGATTTGGATCTAATTGTTAGCTATTATGCACTTTTACGAAGCTAATGAGGTCTGACAATACCATTTTATTAAAGGCGCATTAACAGGAAACCACAGTAGCAACTTAAAAGATGACAGATGCCTCATATTATTTCTACCTGACTGAATAAATGTATTTCAAACTTCTATTGACTATCTGATACACTGGCGGAGAGATAATAGCCAACAAGTTTACATCATGCAATTAGTTAAGTTTTCTACAATGAGTTACGGTCACACCACTGAATAAGGAAAATAGAAAGTTCACTTAAAAAGAGAAGCAGAGCACAAGAGTAGTCAAACATATCAGTTACACTTCAAGAAAAAACGCAAGGTTCGTGCACTTTTAGTGACAACCAGAATCGTACAATAGATATTCAATTAAGGTAGAAAGTTGAGTAACGACTACCAAATGATCCTACTTTCCGTAAAATTTCTAAAGTTTTATCTAGAAAAACTATACAACCATCACAAAAAAGTTGAATTCAATGTAAGAGGGTATTGAAGCATCACAATTGTCCAAATGATAATATCACATTATTTCATGACGTGTTAATGGGCATAAAACTGTAGCCTTACAATATCAGTAGTTTGCCAACCTTCTAATAATCCCATAATTGGCTATTTATTGTCTGAATGTCAGATTAAAACTATCACATCCTGTTCATATATTTCTACTTATGTGGCAGCCTTACTTTAGTTTCTCGACAGTGAAACCTTAATGATCTTGGAATATATAATATATATGAATATGTACGCGGTCAGACAGTCAACAGTTCAATCTTTCGATATTCACTCAACCAGGCTTTTGGGATACTAGCCATTTCAACAAACTTATCAGTGAGATATCAACTCAGGCCACCTCATTTGTTGTACCAGTATCCAGACTTGATATCCGTATTTTCACTTATTCTAACCAAAGATGGAATAGTTTCAAACTTGTAACATTCTCCTCTATAATAAGAGACAGACAAAATCATAGTAAAACCTCACACATAAGTGCACCGGTTAAGTTCACAATTCGCAGTAGTATACAAAGAACAAATGCATAAGAAAGACTAGTATCAAAGTAGACAACTTTGTAGGCCAGAAAAAGGAATTAAAAGATGACGTTTTTGAATCATTCACTTTTAACTACTGCCCATCAATAATGTCAGAATTGAAACACAGGCAGTATCAAGGCGTCCGAACAGGAGCTCAAATGCCAACAGAGACTAATTGATCCGGTCCAATCAGTGACGAGATAAACCAGGAAACAACATAAAGCATTTTAAGCTTTAGAAGATGTCAAACAGTATATATATCTGCACTATTGTGACCTGTTTTAAGCCGTTTCAGTAACAGTCCTCAACCACTGATTTCTATCATCTAGGGAACACCAGGCAGATAGTCTACACTTCCCTACATGGCTGAAACCTACAGTCAGGAATTTCATGCAACTGTACCACGTCTTGGTCTGGCCATCACCCTGAACTCTTTTCCAAACTAATCCAAATTCCACCAGCAAAGCACATCGAGGTAGGCGGTAGTTTGGCATACGTTGCACATTTCCAAGCCTCCTCAGTCCATGTAGGTTCACAGTCTCATCAAGCGATTTGCCTTCTTTGCCTAATACTCGTGCCTGACCTCAACATTGCTCACATAGTGCTTCCAGTCCACTCAGGCATTAAGGTGTTAACATGGTTGGCTAGCTAACTTACGCGTCTGAGTGTGACTACAATAAAAAAAAACAAGCTTATAAACTTCTGAGTATGAAGAAAATGTGATGAAACAACCTGTAATAAGTACCTTATTTTTGATACTGACATTTGGCGAAAACTAGTTTCAAACGTCCAGCTTATTAAAGTATTCACAACATATCCAACTTGTAATAAATCTCTCAATATTATGAACCTATTTTACACAAAAATATTAAAACGTTCACCTTTTTAAAACTATATTTCACGTCTCACACGCGTTTCATACAGTAGCTCCTGTAAACTTCAAGGTCACACAAGCTAAGGTCATATTGAACATTTTAAAAAATACACTCAAATTAAGGCCAGTGCTGATTCAGTCTTTGCCAGCAAATTTCAAATAAATATGTTAACTTTAGGCGTATACTATTTAGGTGCATTTTTTTAAATATCGAAAAACCATTCCCCAGAATACATTAATCATCTCACCATGTAATAAAGATGTTGAATGCTACTTCAAGGCAATAAAAAACTGACTAGGTGATATGGTAGAAAAGGGACTAAAAATGGCGCGCATATTACACTATTGAATCATAGACAATTTTTTCCCAATGGAGACAAGTTTAAGATTTTTATGTGGTACTACAGTACTTGATTGTACATATTCGCCTAATGTGTGAGTGTATTCTTGACCGGTAGGTTATGCTTTTCTTGCGAAAAAGCGTGGAAAACCAGGTAACATTTTAAGCGAAGCCGTAAGCGTACAAAACTGTGACTATATAGCCTTATTATTATTATTATTTTAACACTAGCATTATCTCTAGTAATAATCTACACAGGAGTGGTCAGTTCAGTTTGACTACACAAAATAAAACTAACTTCTTACTGAACCACATAATTGGTGCAATACAGAAATATGCACATTCTATCACGTTTGGGTGCACATATGCACATATACATACGCATATATATATATATATATATATATATATATATATATACCGCTTTAGGAACCAACTGATACTACTGAATAGTACCACTCAGACCAAAGTAAACTTTATTTAGAGTTCAGATCTTCCTACTGAGCACAAAATTTGAAAATAAGCATTTCTGTCCATGTAGAAAATGATGGTCATACTCCACTGGATGGCAGTGTATACGAAAATAAACTTTTCTATGCATAATCTACAAAATATTCATTCCACTGGGTTACGGTTTGATTGTTTCATCAAATATCAATAGTGTAGTTTTGCTACACATGTGATAAATGCATACATCAAGAAAAAGGAAGATATTTTCATCATAATACATTGATTCACTGTGAGTACAACTACGCTGCTAGTCTACAAAGTTAACTAACCATTTTACTTACATGAGCATGCTGTCAAGTTAAGTGACCTCGATTATGAAGTTCATCTGCATACCCAATGTGTTTGTTATGGGCTACGCTACAATGTTAATCAATTTATTTTGTTTAAATGTAATTTATTCTAACCAAATTTCAGCAGGAATTAATCTCATTTCTAATGCCAAACACGATGATATTGATACTGTTGACGATGTTGACTTTATTCAAGGTTCAACAACGCAAACATTGAAACCTGAACATTTGAAAGTAGTGAAAGCTGGAGAGAAGGATGCAATTAGTAGATTATATGGTAAGTTTATAAATTGGATCTTATCTATCACTAGTCAGTCATGCTATGCTATGCCAAAACATCAGTTTAAAATGTATTATAGAATATGGCTACTAGACAGTAGGTGGTAACATAGATTAATTCTCATCGATGCCTGTTGGTTATTGACCACAGTCAAATTCAGTGAGTTTTTACACTGACTAAGGAGTGACCGATCTCATGTTTTTTACTTCTTATTGCTTATCAAATCCCATGAGTGATTTTGTAAACTGTCCAGCGGACTTACTGTTTCGGAGCACGATAATCCATGTCAGGTTGTTGCAGGCGATTACATTCAGCCACCAGCCATACCTTCGAATTCAACAAGAACTTGATTGTGGCCCCAGTAGCTCACTGGTAAGGTATCCAACTAAAGTAAGAGGTGATGTTGGCACGAATCTTCGAGAGGATATCAGTTTCTTCGAGGTTGCAAATACATCTTACTGAGTTAATACCAGGTTGAATCTTAGTATGGTGTGTCTCAGCAATTCTGAAAGTGGTTTTATACCGTATAGTTTTGGAAAGTGAAGGTACTGGATTTTGCTTGCAATAACATTCAGGCATGGTTGGAGCATATTATGAGTTGGTAGAAATTGGAAACTGGAAACTATAGGATCACTGAGAGATCATTCGGTTGTGAGGTCAGTCTTGGATAATAAGGACCAACCAATTTCAGTCGGTAAAGAAACAATTTTCCAGCACTTTTCACGTTTCAGTGGTTCTCTAACTCATTTCAATCTGTCTGTAATCGACGACAAATATCAAAACTGACGGTTCCACAGAAACTCCCCGAAAGTGAGACTTTTAAACTGTCTCTATACGCATTGGCGTATTTAAACTGTATACACAAAAACAATTTCATGGTACAATGGAAGTATATCGTTGGTAGTTGACACAATCTCACTGTTCCTAATATTCGAACGTTATATATATCCTATAAACAGAATTTAATCTTTCAGGACTGATTGGTTTCAAGATAGTTTTTACTATGAACTGACATTTGTAGAAGATTCATTTAAAACCTAATTTTCAACTTAGACCACTAGGCTTCAGTGAGTTGTAGTTCAGAAAATCACTTACCACCCATCTCACCACCGTCTCACATTTTGATTTCATAAGAACATCTAACTTCTAAGCATCTTATTTAGGTCATCAGTGTACACGGACTTGTTAATATAAGTTTCTGAACAGTTTTATTAATCATATGAAAGTTCAGTACATCCATACAAGCAAAGTATGAAGAGGAAAAAATCTTATGAATAGGTGACTTTTCTGTTTATTACTATGGTGTTAATTAGGGAATCAGAGACAATCATTTCCTGCAGTTTTTCATCCACTTTGTCGTCAATTTACAAAGGTAGGGGAATGTGAAGCATTGGATTTTAAGCCAGTCGCTGAATACTAACTTCCTCCCCATGAGACCTGACAGTCCTAACTTGGATCAGTGTACACTGATGGGGATTCCCAGAGTACGATAAAGTAACCATCCACTGCTTCCAGGTTTTTCAGCTACTTTTCAAATGATACTGGTCCGAGATTTAGTTACTCTACAGATAGAGTCCAGCAATACTGCTCACGTATAAATTTACTAATTCAAAAGTTGGGATCTAAACTATATGGTCAATAAAACTACAGTTAAACTTCTGCTTAGAATCATCAAACTATTGGAATACGGTAGCATAATACTTACTATTAGTTAATGCGTCTGCATATTTAGCCGAATCCCTGACAACGGTGGCTGTTCATGAATAAGCAACATACGGTTATCGGTTCTGACTGCAACTCCTAAGTTCCCAAGTTCCCCCCTTAACATGGCTTTTTCAAGCTTAAAGTTAGATGTTAATGATAAGTTCCAAGAAACTAGATATATATATATATCTATGCTCACAGAACATAACTGATTACTTTTTGTCACCTAAGTAAAGTCAACATAAGATTTTAAAACAATTTTACCCGGGAGTTAAATAGCACTTGAGAACTGATGAAATACGACTCCTTTCTAATAAAAATCTATTCAAATAGCCTAATTCTTAGTATTTTATAAAATTGAATGTTTACGTGGACAATTAGAGCAGTTTAAATTTGTCATCATACATATGTGTAGATTTTTGTTTTAAATCACTTATGTGTTCAAGGGTCAATGTTTTGTTTGTTTGATGATGAAGATTTATGCATTCCAGCCTTTTTTGTTGTCTTTTGATACCATAACGTCCAGTTATGATTTTTTTTAAAGGTTTAAAATAATCATTCATTTGCAATGCAAATTCAGCATATAAATTCATATTTTTACTACCTAATTTAACATAATTGGGTTGTATAGCGTGATCAGAGAGAGAGAGAGAGAAATAAAACTGTATGATTTCTTGATGAATCTCTTTCTTTATTATTCATATTATATTTGTTTATTTTATACAGCTTGATTTACTCGATAACAGTTTGAGCAGTAATGAATGAATTCTATCTCAATTCCAGTCTTGTTAATAACTCCGCGCAAAATTTCTAACTTTCCTTAATATAGGTGTACAACTTCAGCACTGTGGTGGAATTTATTTCCATATTAGATTTGTTTATTTGATTTATAATACACAGTTATATAGTATTAATTACTCGATGACCACTTTTCGAGCATAAATTATTACTCGTAATCATATCAATGTAATCACACTACTTTCGACATTTGATTTCTATAGTTATGTCACTTCATATGAGTTGTTTGTATTGGTAGCAAAATTTCCCTCTGGTATAAGTGCTGCATCATTTCTAGTACATGTATTGAGTGTTGATTCGATGAACAAAGATTCAGTAATCAATCCTTCTCCATCTCTGCCTAATTATATTGGACTTGAGTACAGTGACTTTATCCCACCTTATTGTGTGGTTGTGTGTTAATGCATGCAACAGCCGAGTTTTTTCCTAGATTATTGATCTTATTTAGGTCTGTTATTCCATATTTATCTAAATTCTTATGTTCGGCTATTCTAACTGATCCCGACCGGTTAGTTTGGCACATATACTTGACCTCGCAGTCATTACATGGGATTTGATAGATTAGATTATTCTGCTTAATTGGTTCTAATTCCAGCTCTGTTGAGGATTCTACGTAAAGTTTCTGAGGTACCCTTCTTATAGGGTAACACAATGGAGACTTTGAACGACAACACGAGTAAAAAGAAGTTCACAGTAGAACTCAGTTGATTTGGATTGAAGTTAAGAGCTAACTGAAAATCTAATTAAATCGAGTATAAAATAAGATATAGTTTGTATTGGAGAAAGTCACAGGGTGTGTCAAATGCAATAATTCCGACATTTCTCACGGAAGTCTGGTCCGAACTTCATCTGGGAAATAATCAAAATTAAAATACCAACAATATATAGATGAATATAAAGATGCGTATTTAATCTCCTTGCCTAGTAGGAGAAAATCTAATGAGCTAAAGTGTTATGTTAATTTACTTGGTTGCGTCTGGAAGAGGTATCCAGGACGCATGTTTCGTCCTACTTGGGACTAGTCAGCTGGATGCACCTGCACTCCACTGAATGAAGCTGTTCCTCCCACTGAGACTCAGACTCCGTACCCGTCGCTTCAAACCCAAACGTGTTACCCGCTAAGCTGCTGAGGCACACTAGTCATCTTAATGGAAAGAATACTCACTGGGGTGCAGTCATATCCAGCTGACGAGTCCCAAATAGGATCAAACACGCGTCGTGGACTCCTCTACTAGCCACAACCAAGTAAATTACCATACTAAATACTCAGGCAATTCCTAGGCATCTGAATAGGAGCCTATATGTCGACGGAGGTCGACTAATTCGATCCAGTGTAAGAACGAAACATTACAAGTATATCAACACGTAGTTAGAACTAAAGTATGTTGATATTTTATCATCAGTTGTCCCTTGGGTTCCTAATGGAACATAGGAAGTCACTACCACGTCTCCAGTGCACTCTCTTCTCTGCAATCTCTTGTTCCTCGTCCCACGACTGCCCACAAACTCTCATTTCTTCCTCACACCATCTCCTTCATATTACACTCACCTCCCACGCCCAACTCGTCACTTCCCATCTGGCTTCCACTCAAGCACCTAGCCTGGCGCGTGATGTCCCCAGTCAGTCTTCTCAGTGGATGCCCCAATTCTATCCATCTCCACTTACTTCCAGTGCATATTTGTTCACCGATAGCTTCTTGCTTCGTTGGTTCGTTGCTACTCAGCCTGAGTTCGTTGTTGCTGATTATTTCTGGCCATCTGAGCTGAGCTGAGCTGAGCTGAGCTTCAGTAATGAGCCAGTGTAGGCAGTTGTTGATGAATGTCTGTAGTTTGTTGGAAATGCTTTTCGTAACGCACCAAGTCTCTGAGCCATACATGAGCACTGACTTGACTGAATTGGTGTTGAAGATTCGGATCTTGTTGCATATGCTGAGTGCAGATCTCCACACTGGTTCCAAGTTGATGAACGTCTGTCTTGCAATTCCGATCCTGACTTTGACGTCCTTGTCTGTGCTGCCTGTAGTTGAAACAGTGCTGCCTAGATAAGTGAACGAGGCTACTTCCTTTAAGTTTCTTCCGTGTATGGTGATGTTGATACTTTATAGATATTCTTTATTGTAAATATTCTGGATCGTAAACAGCTGACGAGAATTGTCGAAATAAAAAAAATGGATGTAGATTATTCTGCTATAATGTTTGTTCTTATTTCTTTGCACAAAATCTATCATGCGTATATCATCGTTACATTTTCGGAGTACGTCTCGTAGAGAAATCTAACATGGAACTGGATCGTATTCTAGTCCCCAAGTTTTCCCCCGTTTTTCAGTTCATTCTTTTTCTGTAGATTTCCAGTTGTCCTGCCATTGTGAATCTGACACTATTTTCGTAAGTAATTTCTTCATTCTGTTTTTGTTAAGTAAAAGTCTTGATATCTTTATAATTAGATGAATGTTTGAAAAACTAGTGAGTCTTTTTCCTAAATTAACAGTACTTTT